CCCCGGGCCCGAATGAAAGGGACTGTGGAGGTAAGGGGGCTGGAATGCCTGCCCCGGGGTCGGGGACACCTGCTCCGGGCGGGAGGTGGGGCGGGCACCCGAGCGGCTCTCCTCCCGGAGCCTCTCCACTCCACCCCCACTCGCTCCCCCGCCTCCCCCGCTCAGTCGGGTGGCCTAGCCTGGCCCGGCGGGGCTGGGACAAAACTGCCTCGGGAAGGTTGCCTCGTGCCCTGGAACTGGCGAGAGACCTCACTGTCGTGGGGCCTGGACCGCCTGGGATCCCCGACCCTTGCCTAGACGGTGGAGACTGTGCCCAGGCCCGCCTGGTTCTCTTCCTCCGCTGCCCCACCCCCGCACCCCGCTTCAGCGCCAGCCTGGTCCCTGCCCTGGAGGGGGGTGGTAGGCGCTATGGACCGTGAACGACAGCCACGACTGACTGAGTGTGTATACTCTCTGCCAGGCCCTGTCCTGTGGCTCCACAAGCTTCATCGCAGTCAGTCCCATGACTCAAGCGTTATCCTACCTACCCCCTCACCCCCATTCCCCGCCCCAGAGTTGAAGAGACCTGTTAGAACACCCTGGGGCTTCTTCCCCAGGCTTTACCCTGCAGGCAGTTTCCTGCTGCTCCTCCCTAAGGATTTCCTGCCCCATGACTTGCTCTTGACGATCCTTCTGCCTGAATTCTGCCAGATGCTCACAAGGTCTGCTCCTCCTCCCACATCCCTAGATTTATTTTCTTCCTAGCACTCTCCAAATTCGACCTTATTGACTTGTAGATAACCTGTCTCCCCCATAGCAGGTGGCTGTTCATGGAACTGGGTCCCCAGCACCCATGCAGGACCTGGTACATACCAAGCGCTCAATAAGTTTGTGCTGAAAGTAGATGGGACCCACTGGCCCTCACCCTGGCCTGGAAAGGGTCTTTTAGCCCAATGTCCAGCTATAAAAAGTGAGGGCCTGAGAGTTCTCCAAGCCCCCCAAAAGCACCCCAGCCTGAGACCCTCAAGTCTCTTCCTCTGAGAGGCTAGGATGCCTTTCTCTGGGAGATGGAGGTCTGCAAGGAAGGTTGAGCTTTGGGCCTTTGGAGGCCAGGGGCAATGGTTGTCATGGAGACTGAGGGCAGCTCCTTGTAGATCTGGGAATTAAGAGCAGATGAGGGGATGCAGGGGCCACCCAAGCATGTGGAGCTTTGAGCCTCCAGCCCCCTTGACCCTCATCTCTAGCCTGGAGCTGGGGTGAGAGGTGAGTGAATCCCTCTGCAAGACAGTCAACAGAGGCTGTCTGTGGGGGTTAAATGGGAGGGAGCAGGTAGGGCACACAGTCAGGGCTTGCAAGGAAATTTGTGGGGGTAGCTGGTCAGCACCTGGGTCTGTAGAGAGACTGTGGTTACTCACAGTGCTGGCCCCACCCCTTGTTCAGCCTTACCATTCAGGGAAAACTGAGGTGCTGAGATGCCTGCTGGGCCTCCAAGAGGTTCTTCTGGGGTGTAGAGGGGAAAGGGAGACTGGTATGAGCAGATAAAGGGTGCTAGTCTTCTAGGCTTGACACCCGGGTTGGCCCAGCACTGCTCAGGATTTTACTGTGACCTTGAACCAGTCAGGCCCACTCTCTGGGCCTCAGTGTCTTCATCTGTACCTGTTGGACTAGTCTAGCTCTCTTCCCCTGTGGCTCAGGGCAGAGTTAAGGAGAGGAGATCCAGCCCAACCTGCCCAGAGGTCCTTCCAATCCAGCAAGGTGACCAGATCCAGGCAGGGGCCCAGCAGGGAGGAGCTGCCCTGGGTGCCTTCTGCACATGGCCACTCTTTGTCTCTGGGACCTAATCAGGCCCAGAATCTGGAGAGAAAATTCAGGCAGCCTTCCTGCGGTCAACCTTGCTGGGCCCATGATCCCCTCCCAGTCCTGGAGGTAGGCAAGAGAAGCAGGCTCAAGCCCAAGAACCCCTCATATTCTGTTCGGAGGAGGCTACTCCTCTATTCTCCATGCCTCTCTTGTTTCCAGAAGCACAGGAACACCAGCCTGGGGAGTGCCAAAGAAACCTCACACTCTCTCTCCTGACTCTTCCACAGCCACAGAGGGCAGGAGTGGAGGTGTACCGCTAGTGAGGTTTGGAGAACAAGTTCCTTAAGATGGTGAAGTGCAGGGAGGAAGGGACGAAGAGCCCTACACCAAATGCCCTGAGCCCTGGTCTTAATTTAATCCCAGTTGCTAACCTGACTCATAACCAATGGCTCTTGCTGGGTTGTGGGCAGTAGGAGAGAGCGGTTCCACAAGAGACGTGCATTGTTGTCCTTTTGGCCAATGCCAAGCTGTGTGATCTGGGACAAGTCCTTTCCCCTCCTTGGGCCTCTTTTTCCCCATCTGTGGAAAGGTGCTCCTGGCATCATGGCAAGGTTGCTAAGAAGAGTTGAGTATGAGTGAGCCTGGCATCCAGGAGGTGGTGAGAAATGGTGCTAGTGATGTCTAGACCCACCTCCTGTGTTCTCTGAGGCCTTTGCCTCTTCGGAGAGCTCTGGACACATCTCCTTGGGTTTCATTCCTTGGCCTGAGTAGGGAGGGCAGCTGTGATTCCCCACTGGATATAGAAGAAAAGTATGCTGGGGAGAAGGCTCAGGGGAGGGAGATCAAGGAGGGACTGTTGCTTCCTGGTGGGGTGTGTTGCTTAAAACGCCTAGATTCTGTGGTCAGAGTAGACCAGGATTCAAATCTTGACTGTTTTTTTTGTTGTTGTTGTTTTTTTAAAATATATCTTTATTGATTTCAGAGAGAGTAAGGGAGAGGGAGAGATAGAAACATCAATGAGAGTCATTCATTCGCTGCCTCCTGCAGGGCCCCTACTGGGAATGGAGCTGCAACCTGGGCATGTGCCCTGACAGGGAATCAAACCACAATCTCCTGATCATAGGTCAGTGCTTACCCGCTGAGCCACGCTGGCCGGGCTTGACAGGGTTCTTAAGGAGATCCTTTCCTCTTGTGGTGTTAGTATCTGGTGGAGCGGATTAGGTAAAATAATGTATTATTATTCTAAGGATACCACAGACCTGCCAGCACTACCCGGATCCGCGGGGCCCCGCCCCTTTCTCCACAGCCAATCAGTGGCTGCCTCTCCGGAGCATTTGTTACCCCCACCTCTGGCCACAGGTCTCTTGGTGCTGCCCTTTCCAAGGAGTCTACCCCGTCTGGGAAGAGATCCCCAGGACTCGCCCCCATTCCTTAGAGAGCAGTTGAGGGCCGGGAGGTGCATCGAGGACCGAAAAGCGCTTTGAGATTGACCCCGAGTTCAAGGACCAAGTCTACCCTCAAACCACTTTACAGATTGGGAAACCGGGGGCCTAGAGAAGGGAAGCTCCCGAGCGGCGAGCGGAAGCCCGAGCCAGGGCTTCTCCACGGAGGTGGGAGTGCAGGTGTGCGCTCTTGGTGGGCGAAGTCCTTGCTAGAGCTGGAGCCGAAGCAGCGCACTAATGGTGCCGGCCGGGGGATCGAGCTTGCGTGGGATGCTGGACCCATCGCTGCCCCAGTTTCCCCAGCGCTACCTATGGTGGGGGGCGGGAGGCGAAACTGACCACCCGCGCGCCTGCCGAGACACACTCCGACTGTCCTTAGACTCTGTCGGAGCCTCCTCAACTTTGATGGAGGCTCCTTTCCGCGCGCTACCTCCCAGCCCTTGAAAAATCCCGTTCCTCCCGTTCGAGCTTCTCGGCGTTCTATTGGAAAGACTCTAGGCTCCAGGACCCTTCTCTAGAAAGTGGGCTCGGGCTGCCCCGAGCGCTTCCCGGAGCTGTAACTGCGCAGGCGCAAGGGCAGCCAACCGGAAAGGCGGAAAAGCCGGGTCCCGACAGTGTCGGGCGGGGGCGGAGAGTATGTTAACCAATGACCTGGAGGAGTAGGGCGGGCGGAATTAGTCCCTCAGTTGCTAGGCGCTACCCGGGGGGGAGGCAATGTAAAAAATGGGGTGATCGGGGGTTCAATGGCCCTTCCCATCACCGTCCTTCTGGGCCGCGGAAGTTAAGCAGCCGAGAGGCGGGCCTAAAGCCGGAAGCAGGAAGGGCGCAGGAAGCCGCTTGCACTGTCTGTCGGTCAGTGGGTCTGTCGGTCTCCAGGGCAGGATGGAGAAGCTGCGGCTCCTCGGCCTCCGCTACCAGGAGTACGTGACTCGTCACCCGGCCGCCACCGCCCAGCTGGAGACGGCAGTGCGGGGCCTCAGTTACCTGCTGGCAGGTGCCACCCCGACCTTTGATCCATTCCTTCGGGGCTCTGACCTCTGACCCCACAGGTCCCCTTCCCTGAGGAGTTAGGGTAGTGGTCGCCGTGCTTGAGAAATTCCTTTCAGGTTCCCGTAGGGCGTAGGGAGGGAACACCCAGGGACCCAAACACGCAGTGCGAGACAACGCTCACCGACGTCTCTTTCTGTGCCTTCTCAGGTCGCTTCGCGGAGTCGCACGAGCTGTCAGAGCTGGGTGAGCCGGCCTCAGGGTGGGTGGGAGCGGGAGGGCCCAAGAGTGCTTCCCAGAGGGGTGACCGCCCCAGGTCTCAGGCTTCCCTTTAGATCATCCTATGCTGTGACTGAATTGGACAAAGATCCAGCGTCCACACTCCTGGGCCCTCCATGTCCCCGTAGTTGAAAGACAAATCTGGGGATCTTGACTGGTCAGGAGGCTGGGCCAAGCGCTTTCCCTGCCTTTGCCCAGTTAATCCTTGCTACAGTCATATAAGGTCAGTACTGTTCTCCTCAGTGTCCAGTTAAGGGAACAGAATTCTGTTCAGTGAATTTAGGGAACAGCCACTGATGATTCCAGAACCAGGATTCAAGCCCATATCTCCCAGATTCCAGGATCCCCAGACTGTAACTGCCTTTGTAGTGTTTGCCCAGTGAGTACTGGAGGTGACAGTCTGAAAGGACGAGCTGGGTTTTAAAAGGTGGAGATGGAATAGGCTTTCAGGGGCAGAGAAAGCAGAGGCCAGGAGGTGAAACCACACATCTGTGGCTATTTGGAGCACAGTAGGCAGTCCTGGGCTGGTTTGTCACTGAGATCAAACCATCCTTTCTTGTTCTACCTGCCCACATGATATCATATTGGGGAGTGTGGAGCTCTGAAGAAGTGGGCAGGGAGGCAGGTTGGTTTCCACATAATCTGTGGGTGGCTGAGCACAGCAGGTGAAAGGTGATCCATGTAGTTCTGGGGACAAGGTGAGGAGATGGAGGCTACAGAGCCAGCCTCTCAAGACCACACTCTGCCCCTCAGTGTACTCTGCCTCTAACCTGCTCGTACTGCTCAATGATGGGATCCTACGGAAGGAGCTTCGGAAAAAGCTGCCTGTGGTGAGAATTCTGCCAGGAGGGGTGGGAAGCATAGGGACTCGGGAAAGAAATAGTAACAACCAGCATGTGTGTAGCACATGTTATGGTCTCATAGAATATAAGATATGCCTATGTCCGTTTGAGCCTCAAGTCATCTCATAGGTGAAGCGTCAAGGTGTCAGTGTCCCCATCTCATGAAGAGAATGAGTTTTAGAATCATGGAGTAGGCTGTTCCAGGTGGGGAACTCAGGCCTACACATTTGGAAAGGGGAAAATCCACTTCCTGTCAGAGGAGTACACTGGGGGAGGGCCTGAGATGAGGGGGTACCCCTTGACCTCTTGGCCTGGGGTTCTTGCAGTCGCTGTCCCAGCAGAAGCTGTTAACATGGCTGAGCGTGCTGGAGTGTGTAGAGGTGTTCATGGAGATGGGGGCCGCCAAGGTGTGGGGTGAAGTGGGCCGTTGGCTCGTCATTGCCCTCATCCAGCTGGCCAAGTATGTCGGGACTGTGGAGGGAAGGCTCTGGGTGGGGGTAACCACTGCCAGCTGTACAGATGGGGTTCAACAGAATACCTCTACACCCCTGCCGGCTAGTCACCTCCCCCCCAGCCCTGCCATACTCCCAATCCAGGGCGGTACTGCGAATGTTCCTGCTCATCTGGTTCAAGGCTGGCCTCCAGACCTCACCCCCCATTGTTCCACTGGACAGGGAGACCCAGGCACAGCCCCCGGGTAAGCTGCTTCTCCACTCTGGAGTGGAACTGAGCTTGGGACCAATTTGTGGATTTATAGCTGACCAAATGAATCTTGTCCATTTATGGAGCATATCTGTTCCCATCAACTCATTTGTTCTCATCACCCTGGATTTTACAGAGAAGAAAAAAAAAGATTAGGTTGGGGCTGAATTGGAACTTGAACTCAGGACTTCTGACATCAGAGTCCTCATCCTTTTTTGTGGGCTGCACGAAGAGGGGACAGAGCAACAGCAGATGGGAATCCTGCCAACCTCGTTTCTGGGCTCTATATGAAGAACCCCAGGCTCATGAGGCATGACACCCAGCAGATCTGTCCCTTCAGAGCTTTGGGCCCATTACCTGTTGGTCCCTGAGCCTCACTCTCCTGGCCTTGAGTGGAAGCAGTCCTTTGCTTCCCCTCTTGATCATTTTGAAAGCCAAGGACTGAGAAGATACAGCCCCTCTGGTGCTGTGGTTTCTATAGATGTGGTTGGGCCCTCCCTGCCTTGTTCCAGTCCCTTGGAAGCCTGGGTTCTTGGCAGGTCATGTGCCACGGGTGATTCTGACCTCTTTTCAGGCCAGGGCGGCAGAATGCTGCCCACAGTGGACAGGCTCCAGGTTGAGCCTCAGTCCCGCTGCAGTGTCCTTGCCTCAGCTGTTGCCTTAGCACATGCTCATCTGTTCTCCCCTTAGCCCATGAGCATTCATTCACTGCACACATACGCTTTGCAGGCTCTTCTGGAAACATGTCCCTCTGACAGTATGGCCCTCTGTCTATCCCTGCTAGATGGTGAGCCCAGCGGAGGCAGCCAGGAACAGTCATATGTGGGGAAACGGTCAAACCGACTGGTGCGAACGCTCCAGAACAGTAAGTGTAGGGCATAGCTGGACTGGGCATCTCTGCTGAGGTCATTGTGGGCCTGAGGGCCTGGCTTTCATCACTTCCCACCCTCCCTCCCCATGCCCTGGCCCCTGGCTGCTCATCTGCCTTTGTGTTCTAGCTCCGTCCCTGCACTCAAGGCACTGGGGAGCCCCCCAGCAGCAGGAGAGACGGCAGCAGCAGCACCAGGAGGAGCTGAGCATCACCCCCACTCCGCTGGGGCTGCAGGAGACCATCGCAGAGTCTTTGTATATTGCCCGGCCCCTGCTGCATTGTATCCTTAGTGTGGGGCTGCTGGCACTTGGGGTTAGGGATTAACAGGAGTGGGCAGGGCAGGCCCTGTGCTGGAGACATCCTTGACACCTTGGCCGTCAGTGCTCAGCCTGGGCCTTTGGGGTCAGCGGTCATGGAAACCCTGGCTCCTTTCTGGTATCGTGGATGTGACCAGGTGAGACTGGGCTTGTCTGGGGGCTCCACTCTCTCCACCAGGCTATGTGCTGTAGGCCTGGCCTCACCTGGGCAGGCAGGTGCCCCTGCTCTTCTTGTTGCTGGCCCTAACCGTGCCCCCTCCTCTCCCCAGTCTGAGCCTCCTGAGTGACAGGAAGGGCCTGACCCGGAGGGAGCGGCTGGAGCTGCGGCGTCGGACCATCCTGCTGCTCTACTACCTGCTGCGCTCCCCATTCTATGACCGCTACTCCGAGTAAGGGCCCTACAGTGAATGGGTCGGGCCCACCCTCAACAGGGGAAAGAGGCAGGGGGTGGGATATGGTGTCCCAACCCCTGTTCCCGCCTTTCTTCCTCCCTCCTTCCCCCATCCCAAGTCCACTGAACACCTACTATGTGCTGTCCTGGGGTATGGTGACTCCCTCGTTGATTGGATCCTCCAAGCTCTTGGGGCCATGAGCCCATGTGTGTAGGAGCTTAAGCAGTTGGCAGGACACACAGAGAGCCATGGCACAGGGATGGTGGTGGGCTGGGCTTTCCACACCCTCCAGGTCATTTGCACCTTCCTGTCAAATAGTTCAAATTATCCCCACTTCTTTCGGGAGGCACTTGAGATTCAGAGAGGTTGGGCAGCTTAAACAAAGCCACCCAGCTAGCCAGTGGCAGAGCCGAATCCCCACACCCACATTCTCTCTTGGCCTGACCCTTGCCTTGCCCAGCCTGCACTCTGTCGCCTATGTGGGTCCAGAGCTCCTAGCCTCAGCCGGACACAGAGCTGCCTGCGTGTATGTGTCAGCAGAGGGGGTAGAGAGGAGTTGGGAGTGGCCCAAGGCCAAGTCTCCCAAGGGCCTGCCAGGGTGGCCTCCTGAGGTCAGACCGAGATCTGAGATGGGATCCTTGTATAGCAACTGGGGCTGTGAAACAGACTGGAGGCTCCCGGGACCTCTCTATGTAGATTTTTAAAAGTACACTGCTTAAAGACTAGACTATTAATTGGAATTGTACTTCACATTATGGCCATGCAGCTTCTGTTTTTTCCTGAGACTAGAAAGCAAGTTTATGTCGTGTTTAATACCACCTCAGTGAAAATAACTGGCAGGTCCTGCTTTCAAATACATTTGAAAGCTCATAAGGCACTAAAGCCAAACCTTCCGTACTCTAGAGGCCTACATGCATCTCATGACCTCCCTCCACGATTGCGGGCACTTTACAGAGGGAACATCCCAGCCCCAGTAGCTTATTGACAGGAATTGCAACACAGTAATTGCAGAGGCAGTCTTCCAGGCTGCAAGCCTCGTTTGGCTGGCTCTCCACTGCCCTGACCACCTTCCTCAGAGCAGTGGCTCAGACTGAGAAAGTTCTAGAAGCCAGTCAGAGAAATTCCTTGTTTCCATATGGCAGGAGCAGGGTGCAGTCTGGGAAGGCACAGTTTTCCTTCCCCTTTCCCATTGTCACAGAGACAGTATAGTCTCTGGAGCCAGGCTGCCTTCCAGTCGTGAGCATCCCAGACCCATGGGTAGGGGATGGCAGGACCAGAGCCATGCCCAGGGGTCTCATCCTTTGTACTAGGGTTTGTCCTTGCTCTGTAGTCACTTTATGTCTTGTGATGCTCTGCCTGTAGTCACGCGCGTGGTCAGTAAAGGCTTTTTAGCACCCTCATTTGCAGGAACCCAGATGCCCCACTCAGCCTGCTCCCTGTTTATCTCCTCCTTGCAGGGCCAGGATCCTCTTCCTGCTCCAGCTGCTGGCAGACCATGTCCCGGGCATTGGCCTGGTGACAAGTAAGCATGGGGCGGGGTGTGATTATTGCAGTGTGTTGCAGATCTCATGCATGGCCCTGTCCCTCTGACTGTTTTCTCTCTGTCTTCTTGTAATTTGATTCTTGCCACAACCAGAGAGGGAGCTGGAGGTTGGGTGGGGGAGAGCTCCTGGACATGGGCCAGGCTGGCCCGTAGAGTCTCAGGTGGCTGGAAGGAGGGTGTCCAGTGGTGAGAGGAATGTTAGACCTTATCAAGCCATCGGCCTTTTCCCTGCCTTGGTGTCCTGGAGTGACATGAGACTCTCTGGGTGGACACTGACTGTGTGGTGGGATTGCAACCCACTGGGCTGTTTAGAGATTCTGCCTCAGCAGAGGGCCACAGGGCTGGGCTGTCAGCATCTGTACAGTTGGACACGCCAGTGGCTTCTCTGAGCCTGAGAACCCTTATCTATAAATGGAGTCAAAGATCGCTGCTGATACTGCCTCCCTAGGGGTGAAGAAGTGAGAGGGTAGGGCTCCTGGCTGTGTAGATGTGAGCCGCTGATTTGAGTGACAGTAGCTGACAAGGGCCCCAGGCAGAGCAGAGCCAGGAGGCTGGTCCTCGGTCCTGAACTTTTTTTTTTCTCTATCGAATTGCAGGGCCACTCATGGATTACTTGCCCGCCTGGCAGAAAATTTATTTCTACAGTTGGGGCTAACAGACATCCCAGGAGTGGGGCATGGGGAGGGGCAGGGGGTGCCTCAGCCCTTCAGTCCCCTGGGGCCCTCTGCCCTAATAAAACTGACTCTGGCAGTATCCAAGCCTGTGGCCTCTCCGTGCCCACAGCCCGGGGCGCCTGGCACTCCCACCCTGGCCAGGCTCTGCACACAGCCCTGGGCGCCACCAGAACCCCTTTAACACCCTCTCAACTTTGACTGCACCCTCTGGTGATGGAGCCACTGCAGCTGTACCTCGTCGCTGGAGCAAGAAGCCTCTGCTAGGACTGGGACCCGGGTTCCTCAGCTACAGAAAGCTGGCATTGAACCTCAAGCATGGGGAGCTGCTTCAGCGTGGCAGCTGCGGGAGTAAACAACTCTCTCACTGGTCCCTGGTGACAAACAAGGCTGAACCTACGCAGTGATGACAGCTGCCTGCGTGTCTTCTAGCCAGAGCCTCTATGTGCCCCTTGCCCCTGCAGGGAAAGGAATGCCAGGCACCAGCCAGCCCTGGGGTTGACGCTGGGCTGGAAGGAACAGCCTCCTGAGCAGTGCTGGGAGGGAGTTGGGTGCAGGTTCTGCCTGGTCCTCCCTTTCCTAACCTCTGCCCCACTCCCTTTGGCCTGTGAACAGACCACACTGTGCTACTGGTTTCTAGCCAGATGGGTGGTTCTTTAGGTTCCGCGAGAACTCAGTCTGCATTGGTATCTGTTGTGCCTCACCTCTCAGACCCCCAGGTGGAGGGCCCTCAGAGGGGCCTGCTGTCCCCAGTGCCTCTGAGAAGCCATGAACCCCAGGCCCTGGGCTGGGAGTGAAGGCACTGAGTGTGGGTGGTCACAGCTCGAGGCCTACAATCTTCTGCTGGGCACTTGCTGTAGCGGGCTTTGTGCCTTCTGCTGTGTTCAGAAATGAGGACAGCATAGTTCTCGCTGCCAGCTCTCACCGATTGGTGGAGGAGACAGGTGTGTGAATGCATGCAGCGTGCCAGGTTGCTGCAGTGGGTACAAGTGTGTTTAAAAGGTAGTCTAGGCTTGGGGTGTGTTCCGGCTCAGGCTGACGACTGGGGAAGGCTCACTGGTCAGGGAAGCCTCTGTTCCAGCAGGCTTTTAAATTGGAAAAGCTCCATCCATTTTTTGATGGGCAGGCTGGGGCAAGAGGCCCTATGTGCACAAAACGGCATGTGTAGTGTCACAGTGACTTGACATGCTGGGGCAGAGGGGAGCAGAGGGCGGGAACAGAGGGGATGAGGCTGGAGGGGAAGGTCAGGGCCAAGTCCAACAGGCTATCACATACCGGGTGAGAAACTGGGACCTGCCTCTGGGAGGCAGTGTGGAAGGGGCCTGTTTCAAACCGCACTGCAGCTGCTAGGTGTGGGGTGGACTGACGGGCACAGATGGAGGATGGGGGCAGTAGCATTGCTGGTGGAGACTTTGAATGGTGGATGGGGCCAATAGAGAGGTTTAGGAGTAACCCAGGCAGGCCTTGGGACTGGTGGAGAGAGAGGACGAGGTGGCATCTTGGAGGCAAGACAGGTGAGGGACGAGGGATGTAGAGTTAGAGCATCGGGGACCTTACAGTTCCCAGCAGGGGTGAACTTTGGTGGGGACCAGATACAGAAGCAGGCGACTGGTGTTCAGGACACAGAAAGGGAAGTAGGTGGTCAATGAGAAGTCAACGCACGCGCTCTGAGCACAGGGAACAGATGTACTGGAGGACACTCCAGGGTTGTCTACCTCAGGGGGCTACTCTGGCCCAGGAGCCAGGTTTGGAAACGGGGGACATCCATATCTGGGACTGAGGCACCTCTGCAGTTGAAGGCAGGGATCAAACCTGCTAGTAGATCTGTCTTAGAAGCAACTGAGTTTCCTAAGTGTGGACCCCCAGCTCAGCCCTCAGGTTCTGATCCCACAGGTCTGGGTAGGGCCCAGGGTTGGTTTTTCAAGCCTTGGATTCAAGGCTTCTGGAGTGAGGCAGGTCAACCCCACATTAGTGGGCCAAGCAGGAGCCAGACAAAGGGCCCCACACTTAGCCTCAGGCCTGTGAAGAGACTCAGTACACTTGTCACATTGCATTTATTCATTCAACGATATTTATTGAGCACCCACTAGGTGTCCAGTGCTGGGCATCCTGCCCTCTGGAAGCTTACACTCCAGAAGAGCAGGTTCCAGGCTTTGCCACCTCTAACTTGCCCTCTGTCCAGCCTCTGGGGCCGCGGTAGGGCCTGTGGAGGCCGAGCCAGGCTGTTGGAAGCTGTGGGGAGCTAAGTGTGAAGTTCCTCAGAGTGCATCCCCCAGTGGAATCTGAGCTGGCCAAGCTGAGTGACCACTCTGGGCTTTTCAGCCAGCAGCTGTTGGAGGGAGATGGTGGTGGTGGTAGCAGGAGGCAGGAAGGAAGCTAAGCGGGAATGAGTGGGGCTCTGGATGATAAAGATTCAGTGCCTGACCTCTGCTGAGGGCCTACTGTGTGCCAGACCTTGGAAACATTTTGTATGTACCTTACCTCACAAAAGAGGAAACAGGCCCATAGACATTAAGTGATGTGTGCACCTAACAAGAGGCAAGGTCAGGATTTGAACTGACACTAAAGGTCTGTGCCCTTAAACCTTGGGCAGTGGCACTAGAACAAGATGTGTTTTGGCACCTGCTGACCTACAGCGTCAGATCAAATTAAAAACCAAATCTCAGCATGAAGGTTTCTGGCCTAGTCAGGAGCTGGTGCTGACTCTCAGCCCTGGAACTAATGTCTTTTGTGAGGTGGCCCTGGGAGTTGGCAGCGGGTTCCATCCTGCTGGGGGAGGGGCCAACAGAAGGCAGGATAGGGACCTGAGTAGGAGATGGCTCTGTACCCAAGGGCTGGGCTAAGCCTCTTCCTCCTCTACCTCCTACTGGCAGTTGCACTCCTCCACCCCCTGCCGCTGAGGTAACTCCCAGGAGCACAGGGTCAGGGCTAAATAGGCTGGTGCCGTTATCCTGGACCACTCCCTGCTTCACAGGGAGGTGACAGTGGCCTTTGGGGCCAGTGCTGAGCACCCCACCATCTCCCACAGGCCTCAGCAATCTGTTCCTGAGGAATTTTCGGCCCCCCTGGAACTCTCACAGCCACTGTCTGGCCTGCTGGATGGTACGATCGCGCATCCCTCCCCGTCCCTGCCCTACGGAGGGCACCCAGGTCCAGCCTCAGGCTCGTCTTACCCCAAACAGCATATATTCAGGGAGACTTCACCAGATTCAAAACCAGATTCTCCCCCCACCCGTACCCTCTTCTCTCTCTAGACTATGGGATCCGACCCAAGCACCCATGGCCAAGAGGGCCTCAACCCCTCCTCTCCCAGGCCCAGCAGCGCAAGCGGGACGGACCAGACATGGCTGAGTATTACTTCAACATGCCCCTGTGATGGGAACCCCTTATAAAGCTATTCTGTGCAGCAAAGCCTTGGGTTTTCCTGGGATGGAAATGAGCTGAGCTGGGGAAGGGTCCAAGTAGATACACCCACTGTGGTCCAGGCAGGAAATGGCACTTTAATAGTTGTGGCCAGGGTGACAGGACCAAGATGCGGCTATAGCCGAAGCAGCCAAGAGGCCGGGCTGGCCCAGGCCAGTTGGAAAGCCGCTTTTTCCTGCCAGGGAGCCCTGCTGCGGCTCTCTCCTTCCTGGAGGGGCCGCACAACTGCCGGGCCCAGCAAGCCGGCAAGGTTGGAGGTGGAGCCATCCAGAGGCCACACAAGTGACAGAGCTGGGGACAGGGACTGCACCTCTACCTGCTGCCGTTTCCTTCCTGGAAAGTCCTCAGGAGGTGGCTGAGCACAGCCTGAGCTCAGCCTGGTTGGGGTTGGGAGTTGGGGACAGAGTGGGCACTTGCAGGTGACGTCGGCTTCATCAAGGCAGAAGCCAATGGCCAGAGAGCCAGAGGCCCTGGCAGGGGGAGTGCAGCCCAGGATGGGACAGAACCCTCTGCTCCTTAATAGGCATCCTGCCTGGCCAGAGGCCCGACCAGCCTCATCCCCACCCAATCCCCGGGCAGCCTGCTCTTTCCATAGATGAATCTAACCCCTTATATTACAATAAACTGCATTTGCCTCTCCCCATATCCCCA